TTTTTCTTACTTTAATATATTGCTTATAATTATAAATTAATTCACATATAAACTAATTTGTTCCTCAATATTTTGGATTTCCTAAAAATTTAAAGGATGCTTGCAGGAATCTACAAACTTTTGAGAGGAGGACATAGTCCTTACCTAATCAATATCATTCTAGAAGCTGAAAAGTGTAACCAAGAACTGTGTCACAATCAAGGGTTCTGTACCAGAAAAACCTGGAGTCCAAGTGACTATTTTTACCTGAATCTAAAGCATTTTAGTATTATGTTTGGGTACTTTGACAAATTATAATATTTGTGAAATCTTCAGGTCCCCAATATTCATGAGGAAGTTTGTAAATCAATCTTTGTAAACCCAGGAAGCAATATCTTTCATTCTGGAATATACAAGGAAACAGTACATCAGTCACTACACAAGTCATGACACAACCTTACATATTCACTCAGTGACCTAAGAGACCACACAAACTTCCCACTAATCAATACTATACTCCCTACTTTTCCTGAAATTTGTATCAAAATATCAATTGATGTCAGGAGACCCATCTTCAACAGCAACCATGGAAAGCTGTTAAAGTGTATGCACACTCTATGTATTGATACATTCTACATTATAATATTTAATACTTAGGGCATTCGCCTTACAAGCGGCCAACATGGCCGACCCGAGTTCAATTCCTCCACCCCTCTCGGAGAGCTACCGAGAGTATTCGATATGCCAGACACAGTAACAACAAAGTCTCCAATGGAGACGTTACTGGGCCCACTTGAGCAAGTCGACGATCAACAGGAGGGCCTTTACCTTTACCTTTACCTAGTTTTGTCAGGTTAATTTCTAGCAAGCCCATTTCACTTTCTATTAGTTTGATATTTTATATGCGAGTTTAAAAAATGTCCCTAAACACAGTTTACTTTTGGAAGGGGAGGGTGAATTTGAATCTTACCTGGCAAAACTCAAGGATTACTCCTTACTCTGCTGCAGGACTTACCCTTGACTAAGCTTGGAGGACATATGTGATGCCAAAGATTAAACCTGGGTTTGTTGCATGCAAATCTTACCCACTCATTTATTGTTCTGGCAGATTTATTATTTGAAATTTTTTGAGCAAAATATTTTAATAATCAAGTTGTCCTTGAACTATAATTGATTAAGAAATATAAAATATTGAGTACAACCTTTAATTTCCAAAATAAGGGAGTGGAAAGATATTACAGTTGGTTCAGCACTTACCTTGTATGTGGTTCCTTAAAGATTAGAGTCACATCACTGACATCATTCCCTGAGAATTGTGAAAGATTCTTGAGTTGAGATTCAGAAATAAGCCTTGAGCATTTTGACTGTGACCCTAAAATAGAATGAAATGAATGAAATAAATAGTGAAGTTTTATTCAAAATGAATTAAAACTGATACTAGATATTGATTGATCTATATTTGATTTCAATCTTATTAATATGTCATAAAATTGAGTTTGTAGGATGATGATCTATCTTATAATTTCCACTTGTTATGGGACAATTGGGAATATTTTTTATATTGTGTATAGTATATATAGTTAGGGTTGCCTATTATATTCTTTTCTCTGTCAAATACTAATCAAAAGACCTGAAAGAATTTAGGCCAAGTTTACTTCCTAACAAAATGAAGATTTCAATCTCACAAGTTTACTGCAAATACAAATTTACTGCAAATGAACAGTATTTTTCAATCATAATAAAATTTTACAATGTGTGGATGCGAATAAATATGTTTTAAAATGCTTTATTTTAACAATCTGTACTATTGCCATTCATAAATTAGCTACATTTATTATTTCTTCATTATGATTTTTATTATATTGAATAAAAATATTTCTCCTCACTAAATTATTCATTAAATGATTATACCAATGACTTTTACTCTCGATAGAGTATTTAGAATTCATATATATACTTATATATTCATGTATACTAAAGCATATATATATATGTATATATATGAAATACACGGGCTGGAGTGATAGCACAGCGGGTAAGTCGTTTGCCTTGCAAGTGGCCAACATGGCTGACCCGAGTTCGATACCTCTGCCCCTCTCGGAGAGCCCAGCAAGCTACCAAGACTATCTGGCCTGCACAGCAAAGCAAGGCAAGCTACCTGCGACGTATTCGATATGCCAAACACAGTAACAACAGTCTCAAGATGGAGACATTACTGGGCCCTCTTGAGCAAATTGATGAACAACCGGAAGATAGTGACAGTGATGGTGATGAAATACACATTTCTTTGTTTCTTGATTGTTAAATTTGAGAATCCTATGTACCTAAAGTTCCTTATTTTCTCCAGGATTCAAGTCGCATCCTTCTAAAAATATTTGAGGGTTTATTTTCTGCTAGGTTTATTATAAACACAGATCATGCAAGATGAAGTACCACATTTGTTGTGTTAGCATATGTAAGCTTTATTTTCACAGAAGACTTGCAAAATGGAAAATGACATCTGGGTGAAAAATATAATGGGTTCTCAGCATGCTCCTACATGCACCTGAGAATTTGTGAAAGTCAGAGAATAATTTCATGAGGGTATTCAATAAAACAAAGTGTCTGATGCCTTCGTGTTTAATAGTAATCTGTGTGGAGGCACAGATGGAAGTTTTCAAAGGATAGATTTCAGAATGAATAGTAAAAAAACAACCATATAACGAAATCCTTTAAGAATCTCACATGTCTATACTGTTTTCCAAAAGGCCTGAGTCAATTGGCATTCCCACCAGCAGCGAAGAGGAGTCCTTTTCTCCCCACATTCACGTCAACACTAGTTGCTTATGTTCTTCTGGATGTGGGTCAGACTCTGTGGTGTGAGATGATATCTCCTTATTGCTTTGATTTGCATCTCCCTGATGATTACTTATGAAGGACATTTTTTCATGTGCCTTTTGGCCATTTGGATTTCTTCTTTGAGAAAGTTTCTGTTAATTTCATTGCTCCATTTTCTGATGGGGTTCTTCTTAGAGATTTCAACCAGTCCCTTGTATATCCTTGATATAAACCCCTTATCAGATGGGTATTGGGTGAATATCCTTTCCCATTCTGTAGATTCTCTTTGTATTTTGGTCACTGTTTCTTTTGAGGTACAGAAGCTTCTTAGTTTAAGGTAGTCCCATTTGTTTATCTCTGTTTCCACTTGCTTGGTAAGTGGCATGTCATCTTTGAAGATACATTTAGCTCGATGTTGTGAAGGGTTTTGCCTACCTTGCCTTCAATGTACTTGATGGATTCTGGTCTGATGTTGAGGTCTTTAATCCATTTTGATCTGACTTTTGTGCATGGTGTTAGGTATAGGTCTGAGCCCTTTTTTTTTGAATGTAGCTGTCCAGTTTTGCCAGCACCATTTGTTAAAGTGTCTCTTTCCTTGCTCCACTTCAGATTTCTTGCTCCCTTATCAAAGATTATATGATCATGTATTTGAGGGTGTGTGTCAGGATATTCAACCCTGTTTCATTAGTCTGTGGCTCTGCATTTGTTCCAGTACCATGATGTTTTAATTATTACCACTTTGTAGTAGAGTATGAGGTTGGAGAAGATGATGCCTCCCATCTTCTTTCCCCAATAACTGTTTCAGCAATTCATGGGGGTTACTCTTCAATATGAATTTCAGGAGTGTTTGATCTATTTCTTTGAAGAATTGCATAGATATCCTTGCATTGCAGACCACAACACCCTAAAGGAGTAAAAGATTAAAAGGGAATGTGGCTGTCACAGAGGCAGAGGGTGGAGGGTGGGCGGGGGGTGATGGGGATGGGTGGGAAGGCTGCTGGGAACATTGGTGGTGGAGAAGGGCACTGGTGGAGGGATGGGCACTAAATCATTTTATGACTGAAATGTAAGCACGAAAAAATTTTAAGTCTCTAACTGTACTCCACGGTGATCCATTAAAAAATTTTTAAAAAATCAGTGGCTGGAGTGATAGCACAGTATAAGTCACTACCTTACACGTTGTGATCCAGGTTTGATCCCCAGCACTCCATATGTCATCAAGTACTGACAGGAATGCTACCTGAGTATACAGCCTAGTGTAAGCCCAGGGCACCTCCAGGTGTGTCCCAACCTACCCCTGCCTAAAAAAAAGGAAAGTAAAGAAAAGTAACTATCTAAGGAAAGTTTCCCATTATTATAAAGTCCTGAAATCAGTTTGAACAATTTTACATATTGAAGACTCAAATTCTGACAAATAAGTATATTTCTAAATGAAGTGCATGTGTTTATGTAGCTAGTACATTTTAACTTTATGAGGCAGTTATATATTTATCTTTCACATATAATATAGTGGGAACAAATTTTGGTTAATTCATTATCCCAAATCATCTGGATAAACAATGAAATTTTCTTTTAAAAAGTGAGTGCAATGGGGAGATATTATGACTATGATATATACTTTCCATGCACTCAAGTTCAGGTCTGATCTGGTCTCCACAGACTTTGAAGTGTGGCCCTGGAAGAGCCTGAGCATTGCAGAACCTGGACTGGATTCAACTGCAGGCTCTTTCACTACATCAGTAGCCTAGGTCACTGAGAATCCTAAGTGCATTAACTCCTTCTGCAAGCCACTTGAGAACCCTTCCCCTCCAAAAGGAATGAAAGATTCCTAAATTGACTTAGAAAGTCAGTCAAACTGGATCTCCACCCTCAATAGATAGGCTAAGAACCCCCGTGCTGAAGCTGATATATTATTCTTCCCCAGACCCACAAATTTATCATTATTAAGAAATACCAAGGTTAAGGAAGGTTAAGCCTCAACCAAGTATTACATGCCCTGAAATGGCATGTAAAATTCACTTTAAAATGTTTACAAAGTACATTGGAAATATTATTTCTAGTTACAGTAAAAATGATGAATTTTCAATCCTTTGTCTGATCTGGTTTTCCTCTTTCTTGATTGCTATATATAGTTAATAATAATGAATTAATTTACATATAAACTAACTTGTTTCTTAATATTCTGGCTAACTTAAAATCTACAGGATCGTTGTTTGAAGCTGAATGATTATATGAAGAAGACACTGCATCCTTACTTAATCAATCTCACTCTAGCAGCTAAAATATGCAGCCAGGCACTTTGTCAAGATCAAGGATTCTGTACCAGGAAACGCTGGAATTCACCAGACTACCTTCACCTGAACCCAGAGAATTTTGTTATTAAGTTTGAATACTGTGACAAATTCATAGTGTTTGGGGAACCCTCGGTTGAAGATCTAATGCAATTTTCTAACAAATTTAATTGTAGCTGTTTTGGCAATACCACTTGTATGAAGAATGAGAATATAACAAGTATTAAAAATATTAGGGTATGTATTAATGAGGAAGTTTGCATATCAGCCCCTGTAAATCCATGAAGAAGGGTTCTACCTTCCATAAAACACAGAAAAGAACTAAACCCATAATCCATTCACACATTTACCACAAAACCCTTCATAATGGTAACCTTAGAGACCACAGAGATACCCCCTTGTTCACATAGACAACCAGCGTTCTGGGAAATCATATTTGTGTGCACAATGATATCAGGAATTAAGGAGAATACATTTTCATGAATAAACAAGGAAAGCTGTCTGAATGTTAACTGGAAAAATAATTCTGTCTCCGTAACCCCCACCACTGGAAAACCCAGCAGCTCTTGCTCACTCTCACCTCCTTGCCAGCAGAAAAACGGCCCAGTTCCACAACCAATCTCCAAAAGAACAGATACCACTAGAAACCAGAATACCCAGCAGATCCACTCACACCGATCATCTTGTCAGCATATAAACAGCCCAATTTTATACAACGAATCTCAAAAAGCATGAGTAATGGGTGAATCGTTCCTGTTGGACCAGTCTATGGTCTGAAAATTCTAGGGCATTCTCAGAATGAGGGAAATCTGATTCTCCATGCCTACTCCCTGCACAGGACAACCAGTATTCCCTGCCCATACCACCATCTTGCCAGAACAGAAATCATCAAACTGCACAATCAATTGCAAAAAGAACATGATGCCTCCAAATATTCCAAGGTAGAATTATCTGGTCTGAGGATTCGTGGACCTTCTTGAAATGGAGGCAGGCAGATTCCCCTCTCTGCCTTACATGTCAGGCACATACAACCACAACCTACACCTTTCTACATAGAAATGGCCCAGCTCTATAAGTAATTTCATAAAGAATGTCTAGTAGTGAATGTTCCCAGGTGGGACCATTCTACAAGTTGAAAACGGGTATTCAGTGAATGGGTGTGGGAAGATTTCCCCTTTCTGAATCTGAAGGCAGAGGGGCCACAGCTCGCTGTACATGGACATGGAAATGTCCCAGTGCCCAACTAATCTCTTCAAGAACAAGAAACCCTGAAGCCCCACCCATGTCTATCAGCTTGCTTCTGAAGAAAGGCATAGATCCACAGTTTATCTCCAAGAGGACAATATTCATCCTAATCTTTATAGTTACATTTGTCCAGGCTAAGATTTCTGGGGCCTTCTCAGAATGAGGCCAGACGGATTCCCCTTTCTGCCGGGAGGCTCAACAGTCCAGAGTCACTCTGATAGTTTCCGACTTAGGGAAACCTCAGCTGCACAAGAAATCTCACCAAGAACAAGGAGTAGCTGAATCTTCACAGTCTACCAGTCGAAGCTCTAAGGCTTTCTCTGAGTGAAGCCGTGAGAGTCCACTCTTTTTCTGAAGGCACAGTGACCTCAGCTCACCAGAAATCTTCTGATATAGAAAAGGCTCATCTCTACAACTAATCTTGAAAACAACAGCAAGAACAGGTCAATGGTTGGAATCTATCATAAATGTAGGGGTTAAAGTATAGGTAAGATAGATAAGGGACCATTATGACAGTAATTTTTGGAAATGATAATGCTTGACAAAAACTAAGTGTTAAAATTAGGTAAAGAGCTATATACGATGAACTTTCTGTGTCTGTAATACAAACCACAATGCCTAAAAGGAGAGAGAGACAGAGACAGAGACAGAGACAGAGAGAGAAAGAGAGACAGAGAGGAGAAAGACAGCAAGACAGAGTAAAAAGACACACACACATACACAGAAGAAAAGTGCCTGCCATAGAGGCAGGTCAGGGGGTGTGGTGGATGATAGGAAGAAAACTGAGAACACTGGTGCTGGGATATGTACACTGGTGGAAGGATGGGTGTTTGAAAATTATATAACTGAAAACTAATCATGAATAGTCTTGTAATGGTCTATATTACTGTGATTCAATTAAAAATTATAAATGAATAAAAAAATAAAAAGAAGTATTTTGCACTATGAACATGGTAACGTATCCCTATTATATACACAATATTCTAATCCATTCAATTCTTTATTAGCAAATTTGACAACCCTGTGTATCAAAACACTTCATTTTCACCAGGTAAACCTTCACATAATCTATAAAGAATTTACTTTTTTCCGAGCTATACACAGTATGGTAAAAAACCATTCAACTGTAATTAGCATGCTTCCTGATACTAGTGAGTTTGTTGCATATTTGTAAACAGACATTGAGCATTAAAAATCACACAACAGTTTGTGACCCTGGATGATAAGTAATACAAATTAGAAGTCTCAGAAAATAATTGGAATGTTGTGAAAGAAGCAATATGTTTGACAAATTCAATACTTAATGGCAGGTGGTATAAAGGAACAACAAGGAAGGAATTTTAGAAAGATTAAATCTCGACTGAGGTTTTTTGTTTGTTGAATGGTATATGTTATTATTCAACTTATGATTGTAATATCCTTTGTGACTCTAACAAATTAGAGTGATCTGGATTTATTATGGCTGGAACACTTTTGAGTTTCTTAAACCCAAGTGCATTTGATCTTCAGCTCTGAAAAATTCTTAGGTATGAAATCTTTGACTAGTAACCCTCCATTTGACATTTTAAAAACCCAAAAGACTGTAAAATATCCTAGAAATAATGAATTAGTACAGTATTGGGATTTTGAAAAAATCATTGCACAAATCTATGATATGTTTGTATGCAGACAATGAAGTTGAAGGGAAAAATATAGAAAAATATTCCATTCACATCTGTGTGTCACAACAACCAAGTGCCTTGAAATTACCATAATAAAAACCATATCACAATTAAAAATATAAGAATACAGAAGGAAAAGTAAATATATTCCCTGTTCTGTATCAGAAGGATTAATACTATCTAAATGGTCATCCTGTCTATATAGAATCATGCAGATTCAATGTCGACCCTATAAAAATATCCATGACATTATTTTAGAGCCATAGACAAAGTGCTGTTAAAATTTTTATAGGGTAATATTATTCCAGAATAGCCAAAGCTACTTTAGGTGAAAATGATACGAGGCTTTTCTTTTCCTAACTTTTAACTATAAGTATGCCACATAAATATAATATTCCAAATATCTGGGCTTTAATTTCACCAAGTCACCCCAGATGGAGCAAATGCTGTCCCCCCACCTACTCCAGATGGAATTCCAGTGACCAAGAGATTCCAGGAGCAAGTCCCCACCCCTTCTTCACCCATCCCCATCCCCACCCACATGCAGGAACCAGGACTAAATCCCCAGGCCACATGGCGGCAGAGGACCTGGGTTGTTCTTCCCAGGGTCCCCGCCTTCCCAGCAAACTGTCATGCCCACAATTTTCCTCAAGGTTCCATCTTAGATCACCCTGGCCCAGAGACTCCCAATTGAATCCCAAAATGGATTAGTGCTGTATAGAGATGTCTCTGGAACCCAACCATTTACAATCTAGAAATTTACATTTTTTTTAAAACCATGGCCCCTGCAAGCTCTTGTGATATTCAAAACGAGCAGTGGAAAATAAATTATCTGTCGCTGGTAGGTAGGCATAAATGGTGGTGGGAAAATTTGACCAAAGTAAAATGCCCCAAATTAGAGAGAGTATTAGGGAAATTGTCTGTCATAGTGTCAGAGTGAGAACTGGGATGCAGTGGGGGAGGGGGCTGGGAATACTGGGGACATTGGTGGTGGAAAATGTGCACTGGTGGAGGGATGGATATTCCATCATTATATGGCTGAATCTCAAACATGAAGACTTTGTAACTCTATCTCACGTGGTACAATAATATAAAAAAAGTAATGCAGATTTCATGCCCAATTCAATCGGCTTAATCAATGACTGAACAAATAGCAGTACTCCTACATTATTTAATATATATATGTTTGTGTATATATATACATATATATATATCTGGGTTTAAGTCCACATATACTGGATAAACAGAAAATTCTATCTTTAGCTGACAAAGCTTCCTAATATATTCTCCCTGAAAGACTACTAAGTTTTTCCTTCTCTCCCTTAAGGACAAATAAATGTCTTCAGTCTTAAAATATTTGTCTTTTAAATTTTGTCACAAAATAGAAATAAATAGACACTTAGCCTCAGGTTTTTCTTGCATAGCACACTCATGCTTTGGGGAAAGTGGCCCAAATAGAGACGATTAAGTGAATTCCCTGCTGGAACATCTATATTCCCCTTTTCAATAAGCAAACTACAAACAAGATAAAGTCCTTTTATTTCATCTCATGGTTCTAAAGTCTCTCATTTTCTTTAGGTGATTATCCTTTTGTTTGTTGTTGGGCCACACAGGGCAGTTCTCAGGGCTTCCTTCTAGCTCTTTGGTCATAGATCACTGCTGATAGGGCAGGGGACCATATCAGGTACCAAGGATTAAATCTGGACCAGCCAACATGCAAGTCAAGTGTCCTATCTACAGTGCTGTCTCTGTAGCTCCACATTAGGGAACATTCATTCCCTTGACTAATTTGCCAGTGACTTAACACAAAATGTACATTTAATGAAGATTATTTTTCCAGAAAGTAAGATATGTATCTGGACATCTCTGTGTTGGTGAAACACTTGTGATGGCTACAGAGTTTCTGGAACACTAGGTAACAGGAAGATGGTATCAGGATGAAGATGAACTTGTCTCACATTACAACCTTGAGCAATATGGAACAAAATATTCTTCAAAGTTACTCATGTGTGTAACCTGTAACCTTTTAGTCATTATAATTATTTTTATGCTCATGACATAAAATATAGCAAAAGCATTTTGATATCTTTTTTAAACAACTGATATGTAATAAAATAAAAGCCTGAGTGAACCCGAAAGCATAATACTTCAAATCACCTCCACTAGCATTGCTAGAGTTAAAATATGATTTATAAATTAGGTCTTCATCTCCTCTCAGGTAGAGTTTTTAAAAAATTGTATGATCTACTGTTATAACAGCAATTAGGTGTTATTTTATGTGTTAAAACTTATAACATATAAAATATATTACATATATACTGGGATCTGATTCGAATCCACTTTTTGCAATTAGGTAAACAGTCACACAGACGCTATGTTTGAATAATAAAAGTAAAGCGCAAATACAGACTGAAGCCTTATTTATCAGGACATGTACATATGCCACATACATAATAATAATATTCCAAATATCTAGGCTTTGTGTCCACATGTGCTGGATGAGTAGAAAATTCTGTCTGAAAGACCATGTCTGAGTTTTGCTCAGCTCCTCTGTTCTCATATCCTCTCTCTCATCCTAGGCTACTGCCCTTGTTCATTATCTCCACAGTGGACAAATAAGACGTTTCTTCCCAACCTTTCAAAGTACATTCTTTGAAATCTCTGCCCCAGATGTAAGTAACTAGTATTTTAGCCACAGATTTCTTTTGCTGTAGCACACATATGCATTGGGGAAAGTGGGCCAGATAGATAAGGTTAAGGAAAGATTCCTTCTGCACCTGGGTAGCTCCCTCTCTCCTGTAAGGCAGCTAAAAGCTCTGGAATTCCCTTTCATCGCATCTCGTCATTCTGAGGCCTCTCATAGACCTAAGGGATATTTCGTTCATTTATCAGTCACATACAGGTACATTCCTGGCTTCCTCCTTGCTCTGTGCTCAAGAATCTTATCTGGAAGGATCCATGAGACTATCAGAGTTGTTGAGAATTGAACCTGGGTCAGTCACATGCAAGTCAATCACTGTAATCACTGTACTGTCTTTCTGCCCCCACTTTAATGAACTTTTATCTCATTGAAT